TTTTTTTAGTATACTGTATTATATAAATATTATTTATATACAGGTTTTCCTCACTTAACGACCGAGTTCCGTTCCTACAACCAGTTCGTTAAACAAATTGGTCGTTAAGCGAGGAACTGTATACAGTACTGTACTGCATTAGTACAGTACTGTATAGAGTTGCAGATGTACAGTACCGAACAGTGTAATGTAAATCGGTCAATAAAGTACTTACCGAAACCCGCAGTGGAGAACGGAGTACAGCACTTCCGCCGGCGAGACGTCGCACTGCCGCTGCCACATTCCCGCACGTACGGTCGGAGAGCTGGTCGTAAGTGCGAGTGGTCACAAAGCAGGTAAGTCGTAAAGTGGGGAATATCAGTGTATCTATATATATAGATCTATATAATATCTATGTATTATTAATATTTTTATACATATATATCTATAGATATATCTATAGATAGATATATATTATATTTTTATATACTAAACATTTCTTAGTTTTCGCTTTAACGTCATTAACGACTCAAAATATCCATTTCAAATTAGATTTAAAAAAGTTGTGATGTGCCCATAGAGTTTTCAATTAAACTAAATGGGTACAAAGTTTGCTTATTGAAAATGAATTGACTCTGACAGTCTTATTTAAATTTCGGGGGTGATTTCAGGGCGTAGGTTTCTCAACCATGTACAAAATACACAACTTTCTGCGCTAAATGCTCTAACTTACACACACTGAGCAGCTGACACCTTATGTAAGGATCTCACTATGTACAAAATCAAATAAATAAAATTTCGGTGCAGCGCTATGGGAAAAACGAGTCATAAAGTGAAAAAAACAATTGTGAAGAATCAGCAAAACAGACAAGGATCCCACGGTGAGTGATGCAATATTCTGGGGTAACTAGCGGTGATACTTCACAATTGTCTTTTGACTTTATGATTCGTTTTTCCCACAGCGCTACAACAATATATTTGTCATTCATGTATTTATTTATTTATTAGGTTTTTTTTAACCAATCTGCCAAGTGCATCTTCAGGGCAAGAACAGGTATTCTAAGGGAGCGTCAAAGCATTGTTCCTCACACCTTCCCTCGATATGTTTCCTTCTACAAACCATTTCTATGTATCAAAGCTACAGGAGAAAATGGTATGATGTCTCAAATAAAGGGAACAAGTTATCCAGACCACCGATTCACACTGTTTAGCACTTGTGCTTGAGGCATTGATGGCAACTATAGCCGGTTTCTTAATGTTAAGCTGCCCCTACACCTTACGATTATCGTCCGATAATCGTATGCGATCGCATTTTCGTCCGATAATCGCAAGGTTGATGGGCACTGTACAACCGCAAATACTGTACAACCGCAAATACTGTACAACAGCAAATACTGTACAACCGCAAATATGACTTTTGACTAACCAGCAGGTTCGAAAACTTCGGTCGATCGTTCCTATTTTCGCAAGGTTGGTGGTGTTTCCGTACGTCAAGATCCGTACGATCCACACTGCACATGCGCAGACGAAAATACGTTACCGCAATTCGCCCAGGTGCTTTCTTTTAATTACCGCTGATTCAACCTTGCGATAATCGGGGCAGGATTGGGCCGCCGTACAAACATCGTACGACGGTTCGGTCATGGGATGAAAAGTGTCGCCCGATGATCGATCGCAAGGTCAATGGCCAACTTTAGGATATTATTTAACGTTCAGTTTTAACATATTTGGTTTTGTGTAATTGCGTTCATTCACATACAATATATTTTACGCTTCTCAGTGATTATTTTTACTTGAATAAAAAAAATAAGAATCTTACTTTTTGCAGGAATCAGTCTAAAGACAAAAGGAAAATAGAAAAAAAAAAGTATGTATTGTCGGATATTCAAGTTCCTGGTACTTTGCCAACAAAGCAATACCCCGAAAATATATTGTCACATCTTGGTATCGGCTTCAAAAAAAGGAAATAAGTATTTCCCTTATGTATATTTGAAACAGGAAAAAGTACAAACTACAGGACAAGCTATAAGCTATCCACTGATATCATTCCCTGCGCACGTTAAGGGATATCGACGGTTGCATTTAAGGTGCTTCAAACATTTACTTGCATATTAAATATTCTGAAATGTTACATAAAACATTTCTACTGTGATTATTATTAGCTTTATTCAAATAATAATTTTGGAAAAATCAATCAATCTCCTATGCTACCTAAGGGGTTTTTTTTGTTTTTTTTACGCCCCAGCTAATTAAATTTGCAGTCTCCTGCTCAAGCTCCTTGCCTGATTGGCTGCATGCAGAAAATGCTTAGCAATGAAATTGTTGCAAACCTTTATA